CCGCCCCTCTCCTTTGCCCTCCCCCTGTTCGCTCCCCCTCGTTCGTTCTCTCCCGCACCCCGGTGTATCGGCACGGAGCAGTCCACCCACCCGTCCGTCCGCGACCTTACCGGAACTCAATCCTCCCCCGTGTCTATCTCTCTCTCTCTCTCTCTCTTTCTATCTCTTTTTCTCTCTCCTCGTACTCTCCGCCTCCGCCCGCTGCGCGAATCCTATTTCTCCCCTGCTTTCGATGACCACCTGTTTGATCCGACCGGAGCCGCTTTCCCCGCCAACCCATCTTCTGCTGAATTCATGGAAGTTCTTGCATTTCGAGGGTTTGGTGGAGTCTTGCGGAACACCTTGTTCGATCTATATTGTCGGCGTGTGTACACGGCGCTACGTGGAGCGGTGAATGTCTTTAAATAGCATGCGAATATGTGGGACTTCGCGCGTGCTCGCGAAAGGATATCGAGGCATACCGCGGTGTAAAGCCGCGCTTCACCGATCACGTATAAGGAGGAAAAGGCGGAGTGGATATCTTCATTCGTAATGCGCGTTCAGCTTTTAGGGCCGCGCGCATCGTGCCTCGGCGTACACGTAGGCGTTCGCCAAGTCCACGGCGTTTTACTCGTGACGCGACTATGCTAACACGGTAGCCGCGCGTGGAATACGTTTTCGTAGGCATTCGCCAGCCAACCGCGAGAAATCAAGTATCGTACCTTCATTTCAAAAACTCAGACGCACATGACTCCTGAAGTTACGCAAAGATATATGTGAGTCTGTCGCGTTATAAATTTAATGTTTGAGAAATCGCGAAAAAGCACACGATATGTATGTTAATGGGAAAATAATGTGCGAAAATGATTTATGAAAATACAACGTCGACGCGGACGTTTCATAAATTTATATAAGTATAAAATTTGCACGATGAGAAAAAAATCTCTATTATTCATCGAGTCACGATCATAGTAATCTTGGCACGCGCTCGACGTGGTTACACGAGCGATGATGCATCGCGAGAATGTAACAGACGGCCAATGAAAAGGCCCGGCATAAAAGCGAATTGACGTACCTGTCGAGGAAGATGATGCTGTCGCGGTGTCCTTCACGCCAGCAACGACGGTGTTCTGCGGGACGTTTTCCTTGACCGTGACGGTGTAGCGTGGCTTCTCGCAGGTGGCTATTCTGTGTCCGGCGGAGGAGACAGCGACCTTGACCTCGGCATCGACGATGCTCTTCAGACCAGCCGCGTCCGTCGCCGATACGTTGAACTGATGCAACGACGACCGCGAGAGCTGGCTCGATTTTGCCACATGCAGCTCGCCGGTATTGCGATCGATGCGAAAGATCGAGGCCTCGTTGCCGCTGGTGATGCGATAGGTGAATTGGCCGAAGACACCGGCATCGAGATCGGTCGCCGCCAGCCTGAGGATCGGGCCGTGCGCCGTGCTGTCGCTACGCAGGGTCACATTGTATTTCTGCGGCTCGAAAATCGGCCGGTTATCGTTTATATCCGTCACTTCGATGCGCACAATCGCAATCGTGCTTAAGCCACCTGCAAGCAAAGTTGACATTTCACTTGAACAAATTGTACCGTGATGCATTAATAAAGAAGCGAGCGGGATGAAGCAATTTGTAAAAAAAAATGGAACAATGCGATAAATTTCTTACTCGTTAACGATTTTTCAATGATACCTAAATGTATATTTCTGATCAATTGTTATAATTTTTATAATTTTATTCATAGCTGAATATCAAGAATCGAGCGGTTGGGGAGCACTGAACTCGGATCCCGATCGCGATACACACGGAGGTGAGAAGTGCGCGGTCGAGCGATTATGTTTATTTCATTCCCGGCCGAAATCCTCTTATCGAGCCAAATAATGTCGGGGTATTAGCCGACGTAGAGAACGAATCTACGGGGACGCGCCCGGAGCCGGTCCGCATAAATCACGGGCGTCTCGTACCACGGTCTTTTCTCGGATCCAATCAGCCGCTGGCCGCTCTCGCTCCTTCCTTTCTCGGGTTTTCGCTTCGTCTCTTTCCCTCCTCATTTTTTTTAACCTTCTTTTTCTCTCGCTTCCTCAGCGTCCCGTCTCTCTTCCTCGCATTTTATTCGGATACACGCGAGTGCGTCGACGTGAAAGCTCTCTTCTTACCCTCGCGCGCGGGGTAATGCGCTGCTCGTAGTAATATTTCAAACGCGAGAAGTTTACGGGGTCCTCAAACGGCCGCATTCTCGCCGGTATCTTAAGAGCCACGTTCTTTTAGGCATCGTAGTCTCCCGAATAATTGCTTCGCTGATAGATTGATTGACTGATGAACTGCGCGTTGAACCAGAATCTAACGGCACTCTTACGAGTTAGTGCTTAGAAGAGGCAATTGCGTATCTACGCACTTCCTTCATTTGTACTTTTGTATTTTACGCGCAGCGTTAAATATAATCATCCAATTGCAAGTAGTTTAGCTGTTAATGAACCTGAGGAATTCCACTTTGTCAGCGGCTTAACTGCAAGCCGCGAACTACGTCGTATGTTTCCTATTTCGAATTATAATCGGAGATTACAAATGTTATTTATAGACTGCTCTTTGTAGACATTTCCACGAGAACGTAATGACGAGCGGCGAAAAATCGGACATAACAGGATGCCGTAATCTTCTAGCCGCTGCTGCGGATTTAGGCGACGTGCGATGCAAGTGTTAATATCAAAGACAGTATGTAATCCGATGTTTAAACGGTTTACAACCGTAACTCATAGTAATGTATGGACTCGACCGTGCGGAGCTCCGCCCGAGCGCGAGGAGATTTATAGGTGCGAGTGTCATTGGAGTCATGCGTCAAAGGGGCTGGTCCCCCTCGATCCCCATGCAACCGCAATCCTTCCTCCGAGAAGGACGAAGCCTCTGGTCCTTCTGGACGCCGGGATATCGATGTACCGATCTCTACACCGCAGGCGCAGTCTGCCCGTGAAACTTATTGAAAAAGCTTGTTGCGCGCCTAATGATCAGCTCTTAATTGTGGACGCGACGTTTCCCGATAGATCATATCGCGCCTGTAACATCTTTTTGTGGAGGCTGAAAGATCGATTAGGCACTCCCGCGTCCGATACGGAAGACGGAGAGCGCGCGGGGAAACACGAACGAAATGCCGACCGACTTCCTGGGGATAGTTCAACGGTATTTTAATGCGCAGTCTGATATTTCGTGCCCGGCGCAGTCCGGGCTCTTTTAATTTCACGCGGTCGATCGCCGGGATGAGTCCTTTTCGAGATTCGTGCGGCGGGGGATACGAGAGAGGGTCCCGAGAGATTTATGCGGCCGGTAGGTGCGATGGTGCTCAACCTTACAGTCGAAATTGCCGTTCGAAGAATACGCGCTCCACACAGCAACGTGTTACGAAAATGCATTTTCAAACGCCGCGCAGACAGAATTTTCCGCTCGACGTTTCACGCCGCGAACGTTTAGCTGTGACCGCTTTAATGTCCTCAAATTTTATCATTACGTCAAGGCCGAAAAACAAATTTTCCTTGAGTCATTTGCATCGAGTCGAGCGGTAAGCCCGTAATTTATTCTTTTTCTTTTTCGTCCTACGGTTAAAACGAGTTATTCCATTAATATACTGGACACAAATGTGCACGATGATTCCGGATTTCGCTACAATGTGCGGCCTGAAAGCTCGCTCGGTGACATATCCGAGATTATGTACGGTATCACGCGGAGCTGCAAGGGGGAAATAAATAAGCGCGAAAACGGCGCGGACAATGACAGTCGGTGGGAGTTAAGTCCCGAAGATTTATGACGCCGGTGCCAATAAAGTCACCTCCCAGCGTAGTTCCGAAGCGCGCACCGCGGGGGAAGCAGCCGGCGCATCCCTCTCGGACGCGCCTCTCTTTACATTTCTGTACCTGTGTGCGCCGCGAGGCGGACGTCTGCGGACGTTTTATCGCGCGGGTGTATAATTTCAAGAAAAAAGATAGCATCTTCGTCAATTTCTTTCCGTCAACATGACGATAAATCGAAGACGCGCGATAAAATCTATCCCGTTGGCGGGATACGTCCGCGCGGTGAGAACTGCACGGCGGATTTCGCCGGCAGATTAGCGTAGAAATTACATTAAGATATCGCGCTTACGTGTAATCGACGCCGGCAACGCTTCAAAGTTCCTTCGGCTTTAAAGGCTGCTCGCTGCAAGAAAATCCAGTTCGATACACGCTATAATATCGATAATCGCATCACACCGCAAATGCGTCGGGGATGTTTTTGCGGGAGAAGATTATGTATCGCGAATTTACAACATTGCTTATTTTATTCCGCGCTTTACGGTCGCGTTTAAATTAATTGGGAATAAGCACTTGTTCTCATTCTCACATGGCGAGAAGTCTGGAAATTTTATCACGCATTACTTCGTATTTTCTTTCAACAATAAACAACAGAGTAACGCTCTCAATTTACTATTTATTGAACTATTCTCATGGAGCGTTTGCTCAGCCATCCCCGAGTCGCCTCGCGTTTATCATCGACCTCCGCGATCTGTTTATCATCCTCGCCTCTGCGGTCTCGAGCGAAATGATTCACGGAAATCCGTTCGCAGATGCCTTTTGCAGATCTTCGCCTCGATCCGAAGCTCGTAGGCAATAATTATCGCCGGAGCGCTGCGCGCAACGTTATTCATCGCTATTAGTGCGATAGAACACGGCGAGAGGGGTTCGGTTATCGGCGGCGTTTTCACGCCGATAAATATCGCCGACGAAGACGACGTCTTGCCTTTTGCACCTCCGAGCAGTGGCGAGCAGTCGCGCGCAGGGGATGGCGGGAACGCGTCGCCGTCGTCCGCGGAGCGAATGTCAGCAGGTGGTATAAATCATGCGCACCTGGCCCGCGTGGTTCACGGTGGCTCGCGATTCGCTTTACTGCCGTCGCGCCAAAATGATTTTCTCCGTGCGAATTACAGGTAAAAGCAATAAGAAGAATTAATCGCTCGTGTAAAAATAAGAAGCAAAGAGGAGGATTAATGAGTCTCGGGCGGCATCGCGAGGAAGTTTTAGACGCGTGAGGATGCGCGAATCGCCGGAAGATATTTGTAATCATTTCCGCGCGCCGGACTTTGATGGAGAGATATAGCGTGTTACACATAATACACACACCACGGGTGAAAGAAGTGAAATTTATCTATTTATCACGAGTCGTTATTTCCAGCTTTAGCATCGCGAGATGGGAGTCCCACGTGGCGTTTCGTCTTGCTTTTCGGTTTCTTACGGCGCGTCGCGCTCGTCAGCAGATGGTATAAATCACGTCGCGCCGTTATTCGCACGGTGCACGGCGGTCCTCCGGCGCTCCTCCTGATGCTTGTCATATCCGGCCGGTTTTATTGTGTCGAAACCGCGTCCGCCGCGGCGCTGCCGTTGCACGCCGGATAATCATATCGATAACGAGCGACAATTACGAAACGCGCTCGCGCCCCGTGTTTGCAAAACGGCATAATGCCAACAATAGCGATACCTCTCACCTCTCTCTCTCCTCCGCGCCGATCCTTCTTCGGGCTTGCGGCTTTTTTTTTTTTTTCTTCTTTTTACCTAGCACCGGTATAGATCTTCCTTCTCAGATATATCATCCTGTCTCTTTCGCACCTTCTTTCTCGGAACGCCGCGCGCTTCTGAGAGGCGCGCGATTGGTAAATGGCCGCCGGTTGCACGGTAGCCCAGGCCGCTACACGGCTGGATCAATGGACCTTCAGTCATTGTCCTTTCTTATAAGGCGACCGTACCGCCGTGTTGAAAATGACCGCGGAACCCAACCGACGACATAAATCATACACCCTATTACAGAGCTACTAGATCTCGACGGGCCGATAGCTGGCCATCTCTTCCTCCCCGCGCGCCGCGACACGGCGCGTCGCTTCTACCTCGTTCTTCTTGCCGCTTCCGAACCACGTTTCTGCGCGTGTCTCCACGCGCTGCCGTTTCTACTTGTTTCTACTTGTCCCGCCTCCCTTATCAACGCTCACGTGTGCGTATACACGAGGTTCGCACGCGAACAGCGAAGCCGTTAGCATTGTTCTTAACGTCGTCGGAGCGAATGATCGCGATCGCATGAGAGATCTCGCGATCAGACCGAATGATCGCGGCCGGTGTAAATTGTCGTGAATCACAATAACTAAGATTTTTCAAGCGTTTAGTTTTCCGAAAGGATTTCGTAACAGGAATATTTAAGATTAAGCAGCGACGAGCAAAAGTCAGTATCTGCAGATATTTTTGAAGAAATATTTAAGAAATACTTTTCGACAATTCTAAAATAATATCATCGACAATATCGACAGCAAAAATCTAAGCTAATGTAAAGACATTGATAATAAGACAGATACGTTGATAATAAAGACAGAAGCAGTAACGAGTGAGTAATTAATCTACAGTTGTTCCATTAAAGTCAGAGAGATATGTATCGTGAAATGTTAAGTCTAAGAGGTCCCAGATCGGTGATTTAATAGCCGGGCAATAGAAAAGTAACACAAACCTCTATCGGTGGCGATGACAGGCAGCTCCAGATAAGGCGCTGTTTCTCGGTCCAGGCGCGAACGGACGCAAATGTGCCCGGTATCGCTTCGCACCAGGAGTTGTTTGCTCTCCAGTCGACCGCCGGCCAGGGTATAATTGACCATCGCGTTTACGCCGCAATCGGGATCGGTGGCTTGCACCTGCAACAAAGATAAATCAAGGTCAGTGCCGCAATAAAACGGAGTACCTGATGTGCGGCGAATCGAAACACGCATGTACGTTTCGCGCGAATCTCGCAAAACCAATTCTACCCCGCGTGTTTCCTCCTTCGATTTATTAAACTTGTCATTAAAGAAGCAACGTAAACAGAGATACGCCTCTACTTTGCAGTGGAATGCAGTCCTTTGCCCACAACGCCCTTCCGACGATTGACTCGTTGCGTTATGCGCAGTGGAAATGCAAGCAATTTTCATAATTATGATAACAGTATGATGATAAGTGAGCGATTAGCAAAATTGTTGGGAAAACGTTGCGAGAACACGAGGAAGAGTTTTCAAAATCAACATAGTGTAATTAGCATTGATGCATAAACGTGATAAATAAAGATTAAAAATCAAACGTAATGAAAGATCGTCAAGTGTTCGCTTGCAATCTGCCTCGAAGCTTGTTTCACCGAGACGCGATGAATAGCCTCCCAGCTGAAATTTATCGATACCACTCGTTTTTTCCGCGATCCTTTTTTTCACCGCGGCGGAACGACACGCGGATGACAAAGAGTGCGGTGTCGTTGCGCCTCCCCGAAGGCGGAATCCACCCGGGCGAAGCACTTTGTTTAATTTCGCCCGGCGTTCCTGCGAAACGAGATACCCGCGGAGAGGTGGTCCATTCGTAATCTGGGCCCAGTGACTAATTTGCGAGCGAGCCTTACCCTACCCTTCCGGAGGAGGACCCGAAGACGTTACCGCGACGGACGGACGGACGGACGAACGTGGGGGCGGTGATGGACGCCTCCGTGCTTCCAGTGCGTGTGATTTATGCAACGATTCATCGCCACCTACCCGTCCCACCAACGTAATACAAGTTACGAGATTTCGTACGGTCGTTAACGAAAATGCCTACCCATTTTTTCCTTGCCGGAACGCGGCGAGGACACCATTTTTCCGAGAATATGCGCAACCTCTGGCACTGTCGGCACTGTCGAGAGCTTCGCGTTTGTTATTTTTACGCAGACGGCATCGATCAGGCTTGATTGTGAATTCGAGAAAAATATTAAAGATACCGTGCGGATAGAATCAGACATTTTTTCCGCGTTTGAATTATGATAGATACATTTGCATCGATGAATAGGCTCTCACCTCGATATAAATACTCGAACAATAAGACTTCTCACCTGAATTGCAATTTAAATGGCGTTTTCCTCCGGGCGACGCGATATAGGTTTCACTCGATGATTTATCACACGTCTTAAGTACGGCGCGTAACGCACGCTGGCCGCCCGGCGACACGACGCGAACGATTTCCGATTTTTGCGCCGCGGCGCAACTCGGCGAGTATCGATAATGCTAACCCGGCCGATAGATTACGATCGATCCGGCCAATCGTAATTGCCGCCACAATCGGCTGAGCGCGAATTAAGGCGACGAGGAGGAAAACAAGGCGCAGAGGGAAAGAGAGGGAAAAAAAACACTCGTAAATTTACCGGCACGAGACGTAATTTGCAGGGTTATAGTAGTAGTCGTCTCGTGCGCGAGTCGTCGGAAACTCGACGCAAGAAGAAACTGAGACGCGAGTCCCGACCGGTAATGAACCCCTTAACCCAGGCAGAGTTGCCTTAATGACAGTTTAAAGTTTCTTCTCGCGTTCGAGGTATCGCGTCGGCCATCTAGCCGTGATCCGAGTACTCGGGGAGAGAACGGCGTTCCGCCCATGTTGAACGGGAATGTGGAATCGCGGGATCTGATCGCAATCGCGCGCGCCGATGATCGATTACTTCGTTACGATGCGCCCGGCCGATTTGTCGCGATAAGGCGGAGCGCCGCAACCGGATTACGTCGCAAAAATACGACGTGAACAATGATTAACGCGTATTCTCATCTCGTATTCATCTTACGGTTTGCGGTGAGCAGATATTTTTTGCATATCGCGGTGAATTAAGCGGTTATATTCACTCTTCTTGCTGTATCTGTTGGAAAATAAACTGCTCGTAGAATTCCACCGTATATAATACAGCTATAATAACACGGCTAGAGAACCATCATATTTTTCTTTTTTTTCCACAAAGATGCATCGTTTTTTCCTTCGCGCAAAGTTTTGTTTTTTACGATTAATTGCAAGCCCGACGACGGTTCTGAGTAGTAAGAACGCGCGGGAAGAAATTAAATTTGCTATCTGCCAGGCAATAATATTCCACTTGGAAACAATGTGCGAGAATCGTGAGAATCGTAGGGAGGGTGCGTCGAAAGAACAAGATTGCAATCTTGAGCTACAATTAAGGAGGTCGGGGCGGTTCGCGCGGAGAAAATATTCCTTTCTACGTAGGCGGATCACCGACGGACCGCATAGGCGGACTAGAACAAGGCTCCTGAAAGTCGATAAATCGGCGCGTATATTCGTCGGCATTTGTCATTACCCCGCCCGATCTGATAGCGCGAAATGAACGGGGTATAATGAGAAGCAACGGAATTATAACGCGAACGCATTATGCTGTATTAAAGTGTGCGCGTTACGTGTTAAATTAGTCGGTACACGTGTATTTTATCGGCATTTATCGTCGATAGTGCAAGTGTGGCGATGGGGAACACGCGAGAACTATAAAATATTACGACTCGTCCCATAATACGCGCCGTGCGTTAATAAACTGGCGTTATTAATATCTTCAAAGCGCTTCGCAGTCGATTTAAACCCGCTGTCTCGAACGCATGCGAGAATTACCATAATAGAACCCTAATTTGCAACAACATTCCCTCTACGCATCGCGCGCGTCCGTGTTATAATATCTGACGCGATTTTTCCGGGACGATCAACGCATCTATCCGGCGTATTAACAGAAAGGTTCTGAAAGGAAGAAGGCGCGCGGCCATCGCATAGGAGATGCGGAAGGAGAGAGGGAGAGAGAGAGACAAAGAGCCAGTCCCAGTGCTGTAGACACGGGTGGAGGCAGGACGAAGGATAATAAAGCAGGAGTCCGAGGAATGATTTAGTGGCAAGCGGTCGAATAATTTTCCCGCCAACACCGTTGCCACCTTGAAGCGGCGATGCGCTCTCTTCGGCTCTCGGGCAGCACGTCGCTGTTTCTCGGGAGGGATGCGAACGAAGAAAAAAGCTGCGGAGGGAGGGAAATTTGTTGGCTCGTGTGTGGAACATCTTCTCAAGCGGGAGGAAGGACTGTGTGGGTCCTTCGACGACATCTTTTTTATACTTCCTCTTTGGAAAGAAGGAGAGAGAGATATATATATATATAAAATCGCTGCTGATAACGTCGGCGCGCAAAAAAGGAAGAAAGAAATCGGAGATCCCCGTACTTGGACAATCAGGCTAATGAATTACTGCCGAGCAATATTGGTGCTGATCTGCGCAGCTGATTCGCAGCCTCCTCCGCGCGATCGCATATATGGCTGCAGTTCGGCCGTCCCTCGCTGCCGAACAGACTTGCCTTCGTTAGTCTTCAGCATTACCCCGCCTCCTCTTTGTTATCCCCTCTTTGCTACCTTCTTTCGTCACCTTTTCGGCTTACGGATTCGTCCACGATATTATTATGCTTATCCATGATATTATTATTAATTTTTCTTTGAAAAACCTGCTGCAAAATTCTTGATTGCGAAAAACAAAAACTCTCTTGCTATCCTCGCACGGTAGCCTCGCGAGTGGCATCTCGCCAAGGATGTCAGTGTTTTCTATTCAGAGAAAAAGGACCTGGAGTCACAATGTACGCGCGCGGTGTAGTAAACAGAATCACGGGGTATATTAAATCGCGAGCAGTTTTGTTTGCTATTTCAACACTCGGCCGGAGAATGCCACGTGATGCATTGTTCCGCTCGTTTCGCTGCGGCCCGACCTTGCGAGGAATATCGATTTCGATCGGCGTGTACGCGGAATACAATCCGATGCGAATTCCCTTCGGTAAGACAGCTACGCGATCGCGCACAAGCGAGACGCTTTGTTCGAAAGAAAGCCTTTCAGATTCTTAAGCAGGTGATCGAAACGATTTTGCTTTTTCTCAACTTTTTGACGTGTCGCGCACAGATGTGCTGCGCAATTGCCATCACATTGCGCAATATAAATTCCTTCGCGTCTGAAGGTTAATTGATTTCTCCTTTCTATCTGCGACTAGTTCCAGCAAGGGACAAAGGGTCGACTAAACTACGGTTAAAGATAATCGGCGTTTGCAAAATCGAGTCATAAATCAAGCGTTAACTCACCGCGTATCACTTGCGGTACGTAACATCGCTTCCGATATTCGACAAAGCGAAAGGACATCACCGCGGTATTCGCGTACATCTTACAATCGCTTAAAATGGTCTTAAATCTCCTGGCCGTAAGTACAAGCGTGTAATATAAATAATCCGAATGTCCGTCCGCGATCAGATAATCGTATTAAAGTGCTTACAACGCAACGGGTGGAAGCACCCCCCTCCCCTCCCCTCCCCCGTCATACTTGTCGAAAACTCTCTCCTTCCGTTCCTTCCTCTCGCCACCCATCGTTCTCGAGTTGGGAGGAAGAAAGTGGGAGAAGGTGAAAGATAATCGAAAACCATCCCCGTTGCCATGGTGGTCGGAGGTATCGCACTCTCGTTGTCAGTGGGGTCCCGCGCTCTCCAGGATCGCGAGGAGAAACGGGCAACGCGTCTCGTCCTCGCAACGATGGTACGCACCATCGAAGAAAGAGAGGAAAGGCCGGGGAAAAGGATTGCCGGTGCGCTGGCTGTCTACACCGGTTATAAAATACGGTGCTTTGGAAGGCTCTCAGCATGCTCGCGCCTCTGCCTTTAAGGATGGCGCGTGAATCTTCCTCCTGCTTTCCCCCTCCCCCCCTCCCTCCCTCCCGCCCCGATCGTCCTCTTAAGCCACGTTCAAATCAAAGTAGCGAATTTATTTACTTAATTGTTACAGCAGGTGTCGGCGTCGGCTCTTAGAAACATACCGATGATCGCAATCACGCTGGTGCTTCATCTTAATTTTTATCTGTCGAAGGATACATTGT